GATACTTACGCAAGGGTGTCTAAGCGCGCAACAACTTGCTAACAACGGCCGATAAGAGCAACAACAACAACATAACATGGCGCGCTTTTGGGTGGTTGCTGCTTCTTATTGCCATTAAGCCGCCTTCCGCTCRCTGTGATAATGTAAGTGTGTGTCTGTGTTTGTGCGGAAATGAAAACGCCAAGTTGTGTAAATGTGCTAAATTCTCTTTATTATTCCTTATTCATATTTAAATATTTATATTACAAACATTTATGTATGCGACTACTCATTCTATTCATAGATTTAGTGGATTTTTATGTGTTTGCATAATTTTAATTTCTCTTTACATTTTTGATGCTAATTTTTTATATGTGTTTATATGTATCTACACTTGCCTATACATATTCATTGTTTATATTGAAGTTATTAATGTCTCTCTCTGTTTTTTTTTCCAAATATTTGCGAATATTTTTGCTGTTGTTGTTTTTGCCTACGTGACATTCATTTTTATGTTTTTTTTTATTTGATTATGCCCACAGTATTCTATTCTCCTTTGTGTATTTTTGAAATTAAATTTAAAATAATTTATTTAACTAATGTGTTAGCAGTGAGCTTCAATTTGTTTTTAAAATACTAATATGAATTATCTTCGTTTTCGTTTTGCGATTAATACATTTAGAAATGTATTGTATTACTTATAAATTCACACAGTTGAAATATACAAATGTACATATGTAAGTATTTTATTATTCTAGTTATTTTCCTTTTTGTTTAGTATTTTTGAATGTTTGAATGCTTTTAAATGTTATGAAAGTTGTAATTTTCGTTTAATTGGCGTTTAACATGTTATATCCACTTGTGAGTGTCAAAAACATATTGGACATATTTTGAATCGGCATATATTAGAGATTATTCTTCGATAAGTTGAAGTTGTTCGAGCTAATAGTTTCGGAGATATGAGCGTATTGTTAAGACATCTCCGACCCCCTTTTCGTATGACTATTTTCAAATTCGGTGAGGGAAATTTCTACGGAATGGCTAGAAGGATAGACTTGAAATTTCCACGACTTTCTTAATTATACATATATTGGTGTTGGTTTGGTAATCATGGAAAGATATTTGATATTAACTAATCTGAAGTGTAATTTTTGCGCAACAAACACTATTTCGTCGGAAATTMAAATTTTTACTAATCCTTTGATTATTAGCTGTATTCTTGAAATAGATGAGTGATCWTTATTTTTGTTATGTTTTTGGATTTTATTTAATTTAAAGTGGGATTCTAGTTTAGAAATTTTAATATACCTTTAAATAAAAATTCTTACTGACATATTTTGACATTTATCGGTATTCAAAAATAGCTCTCTATAAGGAATTTGAAAATTAATTTTTGTTTCCAATTTGCAGCCGCTTTAGTGCTGTTACAACTTAACCGGCTCAGTTTTAACATAAAACTCTAAAAGTGGTTTTCTCGAAACAGTCTTTTTCWAAACGATACCGACGATTTCCCAGGTTCTACTGGACCGATATACATTTAATTAACAAGGTCTTCTTTATAGACAAAATAGTGGTGGTTATTTTCTGGCCGTCGACATTCCATAAATTTTTATTTTTTTTTTTACATAAATTTTATTTTTACATTTAATTTTTGTTTTTTAATTTATCGTAGTTCCAGACATTGCGACATTATTGCAAACTATTAATTATTTTCGGTTTCAGTTTATTAGGAGGGTTGAAATCGTGGTTATCATCACGTACCAATTTATTGAGACCCGCTCCTCATGAGCTAAATTTTAAATTTTTTATTTTTTCTGTATTATTTGAATGTTAATAAATAACTAATAAAAACTGGATGGTTAGTCATCAAATGCTGTTTTTTAGACTTCAAAAATTACCTGAAACTCATGACTCTAAACTAAAATATCTCTTTAAGGCGTAAAAAAATCGATTTTTTTACTGTCTTAATAAATTCTAAAACTCCTCTAAAATATTGTCCTAAATTTTACTCAAAACTGTGTTTTTGAGGTCGGTTGACAAAATTTYTCGAGAGCTACTAAACCGATCTTCATAAAATTTTACACAGGTTTTTGAAGTACAATTCTTAAGGACTTGAACGAAGGACTTTTTTCGATTACAACTAATTTTAATTTTTTGTAAAAATATTTTTTTCCAAAAATTTCAGAATTTCGTTGTTAATAGAGTATGTTTGTAACAATAAAATATTTATTTTTTGTTTGTATGAAAAAAAAAATTTAAAAACACCAGTTTTTTTACCCAATGAAACCCATCTGACCCGTTAGGGCAAAAGCGTCCTCACCGACAGAGAAGTTAATCCAGAATCTTTCGAAATCTATTACCGATTATTAACTTAATTAATATAAAGTTGTCAAAAAAGTCTTGCGGTATTTTCRCTAGTTGGCGCTGAGAGCGCGTAGTTCTAGTTTTATTCGTCGCATCGGCTCGGCCATGCTATACCTTTTTGGAAAGGTGATTTCACGCGCTAACACGTGCTTGATKGATTGTCRTTTCTTTTAAGTCTTTCGTGAGTTATAGCGTCGCAAACATGGAGCAAAATAAAGAGAAAATACGGCATATTTCACAGTACTACTGCGATAAAGGCAAAAATGCATCTTAAGACGCCAATAAAATTTGTGCAGTTTATGGACCCGATACAGTTTCCATTTCCACCGCACTTCGATGGTTTCAACGTTTTCGTTCTGGTGTAGAGGTGGTCGAAGATGCGCCACGCTCCGGAAGGCCTGTTGTCGAAAATTGCGAAAAAATCGAATTGGTCGAAAGAGGCCGGCATAGTAACAGCCGTAGCATCGGTCAAGAGCTGGGCATGAGTCATCAAAAAAAATTTTATGAACAATTGAAAATTCAATAAACATACCGCAAGACTTTTTTGACAAACTGATATGACTCTCTAATTAATTTTACGAAAAACGCATATTTTCGGATTATCAAGTGGACATAACGCTTTAATTCTGATTACAATTTGGGCAGTAAAAGTACTATAAAGAAAATTATTACTTTTTTTCCGATTCATAAAACAACAAAAAAGTAATGGGCAATTTAAATACATATACCACAAAATAAAAAGAGATAAAATTGTAGAAATTTCACGAATAGTCAAACATGAATACTAAAAAAATTAAAAAAACACAAAAAACTGAACTTGCAATCTATTATTACAATTAAATATTCCAGAGATTATAAAAATATGTTTTTCAAATGATATGTGCAACTAAATATTTTAATAAATGTATACAAAAGCAATAAAAAATATATTATATGAATGTAAGTATGTATGTACATATATCTGTAACATATGTATAAAAGGAACAATATTTTCGAGTATCTTTCCAATTTGCGTCCAATTTATTCTCATTGATATTTGCTTTGCAAGAAAGCAAAAAATTACTTAAACTCTTCATAGCCATACATTACATATGTACATAAATATACAAATATGTACATATGTACATGAGTCAGCGGCGTCCAAAAATAATAATAACAAATCGTTAAAATATTTTACAAAATGAAAATCGACAATTGAAATGTTGAACTGAAGTGGCCGTGATGTGCCCGTCAATTGGTCAATCAAACAAAATAAAGAGGCAGGTTGTTCGGAAKTTAATTATGCAATCAATATCATCTTCAATGCCAGAGCATTGACGGCGAATTAAAAAACGCACTTGGAAAAATTAATACATAAATTTCTATTTTAAAATTGAAAATTGTTGAAAATATAAAATTTTTGTACACACATACATATGTAAGTGTATGTATGTATGAGTTTATTTATGCATATATACATAAGTGTGCGTTTCAGATAATTTTGTATGTTTGTTGCTGGCATGCCATGGAGGATGATAGTTTTTATGGCAAATTTTAGCAGCAGATACATATATATGCGTCTGTATGTTATTTTGTATGCAGTAAACGCTTGTGTATATTATGTGTGTATGTATGTACAATATGCGTGTGAATGTGGTGAGGTTTTCCTTTACTTTATTTTCTTCATTCRTTTATACATACGTTATGTGCAAAACTGCTTTCGCTATTATTAATTTCKACATAAAATATATTAACGCCGCTCATTTTTTGCTTATTTATGAACTCGTGAGCAGCAACGCTTTGAGTCACTTTCTATATTAATTAGTAGCATTTTTACGACTTCTCTGATTATTTACATATGTAAGTATATACGATATTTAATTGTTTAYATTAGGGTCTTGCGAGGGCTAACTTTTAAAAACTATAGTTTTGTAGTTTGCATATAAAGGAGAATACATTTAAAGCTTTAGTTGTGCGAATTCAAATTTCTTTAACATAAAAAGGGGCGTAAATCACTTATAAACAAATTAATGGAGAGTTAGTAAAATTCTCAACTCAAATAGACAGTGTCTATGCTGAATTATTTCACACTCTCTATCTACGCCATAAATTAAAAAAAAATTAAATACTTTTAAAAGTTGCTTAAATAATGTTAATTAACACTAATTAAGTTCTAAATTCATTTTTCTAATACTACACATTTTTGAAACATTTATAGCCTACCGCGGACATTAGTTTTGTTATAGACCTGCATTATTATTTTGAAGATATCTGTAATATAATATGTAATATGCATATACATATGTATGTATACATACATAAATGAGTAAACATATATACATATACATATGTAACAATATGTATCAGTAATTATTTGTATGTAATTTTTTGTTTTCTGATGAAGTTCTAATTAGGTACATTTAAATAATTTWTTTTTTTTTATACTTATGCCTGCTAAATATATTTGTTAAGAGTTCAATTTACAATTTTTATAACATTTTGGTTTTTTCAATGCTTTACAGTTTAAATAATTTTTAATACTCACTTATAATTAATAAATTAATTTTTTTTCGAAAATTATTAATTATTGTAATTTTTATTTTATTTTCATTTAAACTTCATTATATTTTATTCTTAATATTTTTATAATTAATTATAATTGAGTGCCTACTCTGAAACTTCATTTTGTTGCTATATAATGTATTGTATGTTACATATTTAGTAATTATTTACCCTTTAAATATCATTAGTGCCATTAGCGCCATCCATCCATCTCCAGTAATATTGAACTTCGGAGTCTACTATTTCGAAGAAAATTTCGCATCGACTGACTGTATCTTTAGAAATGAATGAAGAATAAAAAGAAAAAAATTTGTTGTTAAAAATATAAAAATTAAATTTTAATTGCATGAAAATAAAAAGAAAAAACCTWTAATTCGCAGACCCCAAGCTATAATACCCCTCACAAATAAAAAGTAAATATAGTTTTTCATACACGTTGATTTGTCAGTATGCTAGATATATGTAGTATATACATACARCTGTTGACAGCTAATTAGAAACGACACCTAYTTTGAATTAAATGATGTTATTTTCCAATAAATCAAGTATATTTATTTTATTTTCGATTATTTTATTGAAACTATGTTCAACTTCAACTCTAATAGTAAACATTATGTTTAAAA